ACTTCTGTCGCAATGTGCGACAGAAATCAATTCACCAATTTGCGACAGATTACCGACCTTAACCATCTGTCGTATATTAGCGACCGATAAGCTACAGATGTGTCGGTCGCAAGGTTGCGACAGAATCACGACCACACAGATTTTGCGACAACGATTTAGCGACCGACTGCCGTCGGTCGTAATCGGTCGCAAATATTTTTTACCGACAGATTCTTCTTCATGTTGCGACAGATTTTTCGGTCGCAAATAACAGTTTTTCTTGTAGTGATATACATTGAATTCACTAAAATAGCGTTTCATGTATGCCCATATCTTACATATATATATGTATTGTGTTAATACATATGAAAACTTTTTAAGTGGCCAAATCGAAGGCGATGATCTCTATTAGAAATGGTGGTAATGGCATCGGAATGGTGAAATCCGGTTCATTCCGACATGAATATGCCATGTATATTTTTTGATATAGCTTAGTACATTTCTCCCATTGTCATTGTTTTTAAAAGAGAAAATCTCATAAAATATCCGAATTCGTCAAATAATACAACAACTTTTAATTTGACAAATAAATGCACAAAATATTGAAATGCGCCAAAAAAATATCTCTTTAAACCGGAATCAGTTCCACACGGTCTTATATTACGCCATCGATTCGATGATTCTACTCAAATTGTTTCATACATAAATTTAAACAATCCTTAACAGTCTTTACCGAAAACAAGTTATTCGGATCTTAACGACATTGTCCATATGTAGGGAATTGTTTTTAGTTTCACGAAGTTGATAAATTTTTTTTTTGACATGTTTGGTAGAATTCGTATACTTTTATAGAAATTTTCCTTTTTTAAAAATATCACGACCCTAAGGACCGGCTTCATTATATTTCCATATATGGAGCTAGCTAGAATGTTTTAGAATATGGTGCCAACAGAACTATAATGAAAAAGTTGAACCCTCAAAGAGTAATGCGGAAAACTAATCAGTTCTATTCACTTGAGAAAGATAGTCAAGTACAACTCACTTTTTGTTGTAAGAATCGTACTTACTACACACACCCGAAACTCCCCCTGAGTTTCTTCCCCTCTCACAATGAATTCTACTGATCAAAAAACCTCACAACATAAATCACTCACCAGAGAGAAGAGATTTGCCCAATCGGACTCCCTCTCAGACTCACACTCACCAAATAATGAGAACACACTCACTTAATGAAATAGACTAAGAAGTTATGCTCATGCTCTCTGTCTTGCTTGATATGCATCTTGTCTCCCTTATATAAGCTCCTCCAGTTTGCCTCAGATCTTCACGAATTGATTTGATAGACTTCACCTTGATTCTTGCTGATTTGGTGTCTATCTTCAGGATCTTGCCTTATCTCTTGTTATTGACTCTATCTCTTCATCCTTTAACTTTATCTCTTCAGTCTTGACTCTATCTCTTCAGCTTTGACTTTATCTGAATCTTGTCAGTTGTATCTCAGATATCTTCGAGTTTGATCTCGCCGAATCTTTCTCCTGAAATCTCTCAAAAGTTGTTGGACCTGCAACAAACTTTCAACAACCCAAGATACGTGCAAACACATGCACTAACAATCTCCCCCTTGTTGGTTATTTCAGATCATGCACACAATTGTAAATCCTTCATCAAATTCTAACAAGCTAGAGTCATCACGCACTAAACTTCAAGTCATCAAAACACATAGAGTCATCGTATAAAGTCATCAAACACACATAAGTTCAGATCATTAGCAACGAAAAAAAAATCAGAATCGAATAGATGAGTCCTCCGATGAACTCTTGACCCTCTTAGCTTTCTTGATTGTTCCTGGCTTCTTCGAGGTCTCTGCTTTCCTTGGAGTTTGTTTGGGCATCTCAGACTCTTCTTCTTCTTCTTCCTCCGAATCTTCTTCTTCTGAGTATAGATCTCCTTCTGCTTCCTCAATTTCTCCCCCTGTGGGCATGAATGAAATAATCAACAAACAAGTTTTATCCAGTTGAGGAATACCTGATTGAATAATGAGCACATTACTCAGAGTTGCTTCCACATATTCATGGACTGATGCACGAATCTTCTGGCAGTGTGTTGCCTGCTTCCTTAGACCGAGTTCCATCTTGATCAGTGCTTTCTCAGCATCCTTGAGAGTCTCCAGTATCTTCTTGTAGTCCTTCTTTTCTTTTCCCTTCTTCCTTTTGATCCTTGACTCCACCACCAGAGGTTTTTGGATTATCTCAGTGTTCTCCTTTGGATCAATGAGTTCAGGACACTGCTTAGTGAGTATACTTTGAATCAAGCATGGATAAGGTAACCTGAACCTTGCTCTGAAGTTCAGTGCTCTATCCAGAATATGATCAAAGATCATACTTCCATAATTGACCTTGATTCCCTTTTTAACGCAGTAGATGAGTATTGCCAACCTCTTGTGGATCAGACTCGATCGCTGAGTTGGTAACCAGTTGGATCTGGCGATCTTGAACAGAACTGAAGACTCGAAATTCAGTTCTACTGGAGCTATCTCTCCTTTCCTCTTCTCGTCATAGCTATCCGTGAGCACTATTTCCAGTTCCTTCTGATCAACCTCTCTATCCAATTCGTCCATGGTTGCCACCACTGTGTTCTTCAATCCTAAGAACTTGTTGATCACTGCTGGAGAGAAGTGTAGGATCTTTCCCCGTATGTACACTCGATGGTACATCGGATCTCCAGTCCTCACAATCTTCTTCGAGATGTTAGCATAGAATTCCTTGATCAGAATTTTGCTGTGGGGGCAAGCATACGTAACAGTTTCTTCTAATCCTAGACTCTCTAAGAAGTCCCATATCCCTTGCTCCTTGAAGTTGCTGACATTTACGTTTCTTTCAACAATTGTGTTGAGATTCTTCATGTCATTGAATCTTTGTTCGGACTTTTCATCAACAAAGTGATGAGACATGCAGAGGCTTGCCAGTAGCTCCTCATCTTCTGATCCAGAAGGTGAACTGGGTGGTTCCTTTTCTTCCTGGATTTTCTTCTTCCCCTTCATCTTCTCTTTTCTGTATTCCTCAGAGACTTTTGAGGATTTTGCTGGGGGCATATGTTTTGCAGCTTCACCTTTCCTTTTCACAGCTTTCTTAGGGGTCTTTTGCTCAGAAATCACCAAACTTGGTTGTGATTTCATCTTCCTTGGGATTTTCTTGACAGGGCTTTTGACAGTTTTCACTGATTTTGTTGCTACTTGAGATCGGGTCCTCGCTCTTTGTTCAGCAACAACTCGTGTATCAGGTCCCTTTCCCTTTTTCTCAACAACCTTGGCCTTGGACTTCTTCTGCTCAACTCTAGAATCCACTTCAACTCCATCATCTTCTTTTGGTTTGAGCACCTCCGTCTCTGTTGCTGAGTCCGCAACAACTTCTAGTTCAGCATCATCCTCGGATTTTTCCTGCCTTAACTGTTCAGAGGGCAGTTCATCCATCCGTTTGGATGTGTCACCCACATCCTTCCTAGATTCTTTATGCTGAACACTCACGTCCTTATCAAAATCTACTCTCCTTTTTGCTCCTTTTCTAATCAGCCTAGGTTCACTATCCGAGCTCACATCTAGTTCGTCAGTAGGGTAGACAAAAAGATCATCGAGCTTACCCGAATCAGCTTGTTCTGGAGGCAGTGGAGTTTGTAGATCTTTATCTTCAATCTTGGTTGTTTCTTGCTGTGGTTCTTCGGGTATCTCCGCTTCTTGCGTCTTTTCTTCTGGACTTTCGAGTTCTTGGATCTCTTCGCCCACTTTATCTTCCTTGCTATTGCGGAGAATCTCCCTCGGATTTCGACGAGATTCTTCTGATGGGTTCTCTTCTGGATCTTCTTCAGCACTCACAAACGAGTTTGAAGATTCTTCTTTCCTGGGTTCACTCGATTTTCCTTCTCCAGATGAACCTTCCTCTGATTCAAGGTGATGATCCTCACCCTTTTCTTCTCTCTTTTCTTTTGGATCCATGCTGAGACTGAATCTAGGGATTTTATTCTCTCTTCGTAACTCTCTGTTGGACCTCACACTCTTGCGAATCAACTTCCCAGATTTTAGGGTTCTTCAGCTCCAGAACTTCGCAGGGATAGAGAGAGAAACACCTCTTTTTATTTTGGGCAAAGAGTTTGTTTGGGAAATCTCTGATTTTTCGGATCCCACTTCCCAATAACCGAAAATTTACTCAACCACTCACATCAATCTTTTCAAAAATAACGTTTAAAAAAATTTAATGCAACAGAAATCCGTTACGCAACAACTTACGATTTTAACACCAAAGGAATTTATTCTTCCGTACCTTAGTTCGCAGTATCTCCAGTTGAGTCAGTAACACCTCACGCTTCGTCCAGTGCTTACTTCACC